GTCTTGATTCTTGACACTATTGATTCAAAGTACATAATATAGGAAAAAAGGAAATTTCTTATGCATACGTGTATGTAATCTGAGGATTTATTCTTGATTATCCAGAGATTTCTTTAGCTCTTTTTTGCTCACCTGCAACGCGAAATAAATACTCATCTTGATTACACCAAACAAACATATCTCAAATCATTCAGGAAAAAAAGCTTTGAGAGGGGTTTTAGTTTACCTTTCCCATGGCGTTGCGGGGCAAGCTCTCCCATATCAGCAATCGTGTTGGTAGCTGAAAAGACAGACTATTATGGGCAAGAAAAGATATAATTTGACAAGACTGTTGTGCGTGCTGATAACATTTTGGCGGATTTTGAGTACCTTGTAAGGAGCAAGCTTGTCTTTAGCCCAACCGCACAGTTCTTCTAAGGTCATTACAGGTTTTGACTCATCTTCTCTTCTTTTCTTTATTGCACTCTCTGCTACAATTATCGCAGTAACGGCTTCTCCATAATCTTTGTCTGTTACCCCCAACACGCAACATTCTGCAACCGTAGGGTGCTGCATAACACATCACAGAGATTTCATTCTACGATTAAATGCTCTCGGTTTAGTAATCTAAAGCTCTATTCCCTATTTCCCAAGGGGAAAAAGCCTTCTGATACCTTCAAAGACCCAAAAGAATTCAAATGGTGGTTAAAGTTACCTCGAGAAGCGTTGATTCGATTTCTAAAGCTGATAACTTGTATCCTCCAACCTTCATAATGTCAGCGCTATTGCCTGATCGACGCCAGAGAAGAGAAGATGTTAAGAGAAGGAATGCAAACTACTCTTAAATTGTGTTTGAATGTACTTATGGGTTCTGCTTACGTCCTAGAATCACATAATATCCATCCTCATCCACTCTACCAGCATCTCCTGTCTTAAAGTATCCATCTTCCGTAAATGATTCTTTCGTCACTTCTGGAAGATTCCAATACTCCTTGAACAAAGATGGGCTTTTAACACAAATCTCGCCCACTCCATTTGAATCATTCTCATCTTCTTTAATTTTAGCCTATCATGTTTACACACTTTTTCAGTATCATAACTTCATGTCACAGTACTAGTACTACCTTAGCTGTGTGGCATTAGTTAAAAGGTATTGAATCTGGACCTAAGATAAAAAAGATGTCACTGACCTCCACACCAGGAAGCGGTTTGCCGACAGTACCAGCCTTTCGTGCACCCCGTAAGGGGTTCGACATTGCCATTACAAACTGGGAATGTTGAACAATGTTTTTAATTCAGTAGATGTAACTACTAAGAACAGGCTTAAGAAGCTTTTTCTAAGGTATTGTATTATGGTAACTCAAAGAGACAGGAAAATCTACTTACCTCAGTCATGCCATATCTTTCCAAAAGACGATGACCTGTGATACTTTCCCATTGATGCATGACAGGTCGAGGGAGAGCAGAGGACCCAGACATCTGAAAATGAATTTCATTGGCTAACATGTAAGCACTACTTTCACCAGAATTTGAAAATAGAATAGCTGTTCAAGCATATAAATGATAAAAAATACGCTGGACTTGCGCTTCTAGGAGATACTTGGTTAATTACCATTAGGCGAAGCTTCCGTGCAGCAAAAGCGCTCGAGTCCTGCATCTCTTTATCCATTGCTTCATAACCTTGTATCAACCGAGTGTACATGGTTGGAACCTGTATATCGCAAAAATCACTTTTACCAATTGAAAATAGCTAATTCTCTCTCTGTTTCTTTGTTTTTCTCATCTCAGGCTAAATTTCTCTAAAGCAAAACATGTTTGTTTATATATCTAGAGCGTCAGAAGCAAACTGGGAACTGATCAACTCAGCCAAGCCTATCATTTTGTTACATAGTAAAACTGAGTAAACTCGCATTGAATAGTGAATACTACCCTCAATTCAAATACTAACCAACAATTTAAACAATTAATAAGCTTGCTATATCAGGTTTAAGAAAAGGCTTATGCAACAAGAAATCAAACAATTAACTTGAGGCAGGGACAGCTAATGCATAAACTAGTAATTTTTTTTGGAATAAAAGCAACAATAAAGGAGACTTACTCCAGTGAATACAGTTATAGCGTCGTTGTTTTTCTCATCATTCTGTGGATAGGATTCACGCCATCTACGCCAGATTCCACTAACACTAAATTTGGGCAAAAACTCCACCTTAAATGAGGAATGTGAAAATCAATAAAAAAAACCTATAACCAGCCTGAGGCTTTCAGAAGTTAATGTATTTTTGAAAGAGCTAGCCGAAGCAAATATTGATAGTATAAGTTACCAAAGACCGTGCGTAAAGAGGAGCAAATAAAGCGTTGAAAAGCCCATGAACATGATGTAGTGGGAGGCAGTGGAGAAAATGATCAGTAGATGTGTACTCCCAAGCTTCAGTGAGCATTTTAACCTGCAACATATAAAAGCTTCTGGCTTATACGGTACCATCATAATTTAAATATATGTGCAGACACATTCTACTGCAGGTTGAGTAGATTTGAAACATGACATGCACTACATATACAGGTCGGATATATACCTGGGAATTGATGCTGTTGTGGGTATGGACAACTCCTTTTGGCTTACCAGTTGTGCCACTAGTGTAGACAATCAATGCTGGATCATCTGCACAAATAAAGGCTGAAGTGATGCAGAAAAAACAGACCAATAATAAGGTTGCATATATTAAAAGAGTTGTAAGTTCATCATTTCAAGTATATTCAAAATCTTACCTAGAAACTTTCCTTCTGCTTCAAAACTATCATCCTGAAACTGATTGCGAGCAACAGTTTCCGAAGTTGAGTTGACAACAGGAGGAATAAGATGAAATTGGGCACCACTCTTTGCTGCGATAGTTTTCATAGTTTCACTATGGTCCTCTGTGCTCAATAACAGGGATATATCCTAGAAACCATAGACAACCAGGTTATAGCCATAGCCGAAGATAATGTTAATAATTCTTACTCGAGAGTAAATAGAGCATAAGGCACACTTATTTTGCTAAGCTTGAATGCGGCAGAAAACAGAGCCAACCAGAAAAACCTAGGGCTTCTAGTATCTACATTGTTCTACAGAGCACTCTTTCTAGTCTTGGGAAAATAACTAATGCTAGAAAAACCAAGAGCTTGGAATATGGATCAAAATTCTGAGATCACAAAAACTTAGATCAAAGTATAACTAAGAATTGACCACATGAATAACAAAACAAACAGTTTCCGGAAGACTGTGTGGCGATAAAGCTGATAGTAAAGCAAAAGCATATAGGAAGGCAAAGAGATTTCATACCGAATCATTCATGACATGTAAGAGTTCAGCCTCAGGATAGCTGAGTGCAAGTGGAACCGCTACACCACCGCTAAACCATGTTCCCATAACTCCTGCAACAAACTCAGCTGAAGGTTTTGCCACAATTCCAATTCTAGCTCCTTTAAGACTACCAAACCCTTCATACTTCTTAGTTTCACCTCCCTAGGGAATTTATAGAAGATAAAAAATTCAAGAACCAGAAATTGTGATAGCTTCAAGTAGTAAATATAGGTACAATTTCAAACTAATTACCATACATTTGTAGTATCTTCATTGGAGAACAATTTAGATATTCTAAAAGCAGAGGACGTTAGCTGGCCATAAGAGTAACTCTTTCCATCGGCTTTAATCGCAATCCTATCACAGGAATTAGAACCTTCTGAAAAAGCTGCTTTAAACACTTCCATGAGTGAACCAGACTGTGAAGCTGCAACATTGATTACATAGACGAATTTCAGATCAAAGAACCATCACATAAATAAAATTCAGATTAATAATCATATAAAATGCAAATTATAGAAACTAATTGTACAAAACAACAAATTGTTCTGGTTTACGGATCATCAACGTTATTTATGGAAAGCATGAATCTTTAAGACATTTCGTCGAACATGTAACATGCAAAAACCAAACAAAAGTAGAATTTAGATAAAAAGAGAACTTACAGAAGAAGAGATGGTTAGATTGGAAGAATCGAAACCCAGAATTGGAAAACGAAGAGGTAGCTGGCTGATGAAATCGAGGAAGACGAGAAGAGAGAATAGCGTATGTGTTGTGGTTGAGTCGATGGTTAATTAAAGACAAGTAGTTGAAACTCTTTAATGTCGTCGTAGCGGTCATTTTTAGGTTTGCAGTAATGTTGTGTGGTTTGGTTCGTTAAAAAAAAAAACTATTCAAAGGTTTCGACTTTTTTTCGTACAGTCAAATTACGTAGCCGTTCTTCTTAGGTGGTTGCAATCGCCAAAAAGAGCCTTTGTCGTGTATCATGAAATTGCGTCTGAAGCGTTTGGCGAGAGGAGAATTCAGCACGTGGCGTGATTCTGACGATGAATTGAAAAGTGACGCTTTATATTAGCCTTGGGATGATCGGAGTATTTATGCACTTTTTATCTTGGTTAATTACTGGATTAGTGGTAAACCACTCTGCCACTAGTTTATTCATTTTTACTTAGGTCGTGAATTTCTTTTAAGTAAAGACCATGAGATACATATTTACAAAAATTAAAGACCATCAGGATATTGCAGCTCCATTGATGTGACCATGACCGTTGATAAATAACAATTGTGGTTAAGCTAGCTAACATTTTACAGATATGCATTGATTTTATTATTTGAAACTTCGAAAAATATGCATTGATCTAGTTTCTAACTTGGAAAAAATATCAAAAAATTATTTTATCATTAAACTATTATTTTAAAGTAATATACAGAATTTATTAAACAAAAAAAAATATGATTTAAGAGCACACATTATATCAAATTTAACATGTTTTTTATTCAGAAACTTTTGTAACAGAAAAAAATGATAATAGAAAACAAATCAATAATTATACTAATAATAAAAAAATTCGTTTTGGTATAACAAAACTTTCAAAATAATAATTTTACATGGAAAACAAAACAACACATATGAACACTTTTTTTTTTTTTTTTAATCAGTATTTTCTATAGGTCTCGGGTTCGAATATTGGAGAGTACTAATTTGCTTATATTAATCATGAATATTAGACTTCATTATTTCAATGACTCGAATCCCATCTTCGTCATCCTCGTTCCCTCCAAGATCAGACTCTCTCTCGATTTTGAATACCCTCGCGTTGTTCTCAGAGAACCTTTTTGTTTCTGGGAAAATCCTAGGAGCTGGCCAAAAAAATCCGAGAGTAACGCGAGAGACAATCATCGTTCCGATTTAGGATCCAGCAATCCATTTTTGTTATCTGTCAGCCATGGCGACTCTCCGATACACTGAGCTGAGCTATGAATCAACGACCCTGTTCTGACGATTTCTCACCGATCATGCTCATATCGGTTCGCAGAAATTGAGGAAAAAGCTTGTGCGGCGACTATAATGTGAAGGATCGATATGACAGGTAACGCAGATTCCGGTAAAATCGCGACAGAGAAAGACCCTAGGAAGATCGTTTTCACCAAATTGGAGTTATCTCCCGTCTTCCTTGAGTCTCCTGTTAAAGAAATTCCTCCTTTTCCTCCGATTTCTCGGTATTGTTCCAGTTTCTCATCCAATTTTCACTACATATGCTTTTCGTTTGAGTAATTTCGATCCACAATCTACTCTCTGATCTCCACTGGTCTTGATTTTGAAACAGAGAGCATTCAGAAACAAAGGATACGACAGATCAGGAAGGCATTACTTGGAGGAAACGATGTCGATGCAAACAATCCAAATGTCTAAAGTTGTAAGTTCATTTCAGGATCCAAGAATTACTAATGTTAAGCTGATAGAGATTTGAATATAATGTTGAGTAGAGAGCTTATCTTCTGTAGAATTTACTTCAGTCTATACTATCTTTTTTGTTTATCTCAAGTTGAGGTTGAGTTGATGGATTATTGGACATTTGTTTGACGCTTGGTTATTAGGTACTGTGACTGTTTTGCATCAGGAGTGTTATGTACCGACTGTGATTGTGTTGATTGTCATAACAACTCTGACAACTATGATGCCAGAGATGCAGCTGTGGTGAATGTACTAGGTCGCAACCCAAATGCCTTCAATGAGAAACTTTTTAGCAGCATAAATGACAAGCAGGTATGTTCTTCAAACCTATCACTTTGTGAGACTGAAGAAAGAAGGGTATATATAAGAAAATACTTGCCTTAGATTAAACTTCAAAGAGGTATCTCACATATTTTCTGATTTGTAAGTATCTGGAATGGTTTGTGCTTTGTATTATAGTGTAAGGCTGCACCTGATACTAGACCTGGACTGCTTTCGAGAGGCTGTAAATGCAAAAGAACCAAGTGCTTGAAGAAGTACTGTGAATGCTTTCAGGCTAATGTTTTGTGCTCAGACAACTGTAAATGCATCAACTGCAAGAATGTTAGTGAAGCGTTCCAGCCTTCTGTTTTTGCCTGGGGACTAAACAGTAGGAAGCTTTACGAAGGATTTGATAATCCAGAGAAGAAGTTTGTCTGTGATCTAGGAATCATTTCTCCTAGCGAAGACAGTGTCGGCTTTAACAGCCACAATACTGCTGGTTGTATGAATTATGCTCCTGGATTTTCTGCTCACAATTCCCCACAGGTATACCGGAGAAGAAGACACCAAGAGCTACCTGAGGTAAGTGAAATATACTACTTGCTTCATAACAACTAGGCACTTTTGGTTTTATCTCCACAAAATCATTTCTTTTCTGTCCGGAATAGCAGTGGAATTCTTGTCCAGCTCCATTATTTTCGATACCTGACAATTCCATTCAAAATGCTCTGGGTTCCCCTATGTCTAGCTCTCCTAAGCTTCCTTACAGGTTTGGTTTTTGCATTTCCTAAATGATATTTCTTCTTCCTTCACCTCCTAATCATAGATATTTTAACTGGATTTTCATTGTAAACCAGAAAGAAAAAGCCCCCATTGGGATATGCTTCCACAGTTGTTCCAGATTTGGGAGATATATGCTCACTTCTCTTAGCAGCATCTGAAACTGCTACAGCCAATGCAGGTATGATCAATTGTATCTTAAACAATCTCTACCTCCATTAGATCTCCCATCCTGTCTTACTTGGTTTCATCTACATACTTCCTTCAAAATGGTAGAAGACCAGAACAGGATATGTATAAAGCCTGATGATAAGGTAGACAACGTGTACACTGAGGTATTGAGTGAGTCTGAAAGCGGTAATGTGGAAGAAGAAATACAGTCCTTTCGAAGATTGATCGAACTGATAGATGCTCAATACAATGGAGAAGAGCATTCCAAATGTAAGACCGAGACAAGTGTCCATGAAACAGATATATACATGGAGCAGGAAAGGGCAGTGCTTGAAACTTTCAGAGACTGTCTCCAAACGTTCATCAAATCGAGACTGGATTCTATTTAATCCCTCCATTCTCAGAGTCCACTTACTATACGTTTAGTTGCTATTTGTGACATGTCAGGTTCATTCAAGAAGCAGCGAGCTAAACCATGATATGAAGCTGAAACAGATCAACGATTTTTTAAACACGAATTAACAATTAGAAACCACATTAAGCACAAATCAGTAACGAAATACCTAAATTTACTACTCCAGATTTATTATAATGAATAACCAAATTAATAGAGCCATGACTGATTCAGAGCACACTAATCAAATACTAATACATTTTCTTAATCTAAAAATATTTCTCACTCCCAAATAGCAACCTCCATGAACCCATCCTCCGTTGCACATCCCCTGAACATCCCATTAGAGTTAAAACCACAAACCACCTCTCCTTTATTCGACACAGCGATGAGTCCAGCGAACCCTTCATCGAGTCTATGCTTGATGACGTAATCAACCGCTTCTTGGAGGTTAAGTCCTTTGTACTCCATAACAGCTGACACATCACGAGCTAGCGTGGCTCTTATGATGGCTTCTCCTTCTCCGGTACACGAAACACCACAAAACTCCGACGCGTACGTCCCAGCTCCTATCAGCGGCGAGTCACCGATCCTTCCCATCATCTTGTTCATCAAACCACCGGTTGATGTCCCGGCGGCACACCGTCCTTCTCCGTCAACCACGACGCATCCCACTGTCTCCGGTGCGTAAATGCTGATCGGAAGACCGTTCATTTGGAGTGGACAGTCGGTTGCGGCTGCACCGGCACATCCCATCGGCGGAATCCGGTAGTCAAACTGGTGAGAAAGAAAAAACGTTGAGCATACATAATAAAGAAAAAGGTGCGATGAATAAATGAACGGTGGAGATTTAAGTCAAAACGTACCAAGATGGAGTTAGCTTCCTTGGCCAACTTGAGCATTCCTACGTTGTCGTCCGTGACGAAGTAGTCGTTGTCCACAATTTCAACTCCCTTTTTCATCAAACCAATCAATTTCGGTCAGATGATTTTATTTAACCAAAGAATAAAAAGTGGAAGGGCAAAAGAGTAAATAAACACCTGTTTACGGGCGAAATCCTCTGCACCAGAGAAAGCAAGGTAAGAGTGGGGAGATTTGTCCATGACGAGACGAGCAAGAGATATTGGATTCTTCACGGTGGTTATCCCCGAAACGGCACCGCATCGTCTCTTCGTACCATCCATTATGCTAGCTTCCATCTCCACCGTTCCTTTTTCCGTCAAAGCAGATCCACGGCCTGAATTAAACAGAGGATCCGTCTCCAATTCTCTAATCTGTTTAACAAAAAAATAAATCAACAAACCACCATAGAATAAATATCAAAATTGATTGTGAGAGAAGAGAGAACGTACGACGAGCTCAACGACGTCAATGGCGGAGATATTTGAACGTAAAGCTACTATGCCGAGGTTGAGACAACGAGTCAAAAGCTGTTTCGCCTCTTCTTGTCTCTCCGCCGGAAGATTTGGGTCGATTCCGGCACCACCGTGTACTGCAATTGCCCACCCACCCATTTTATCTCTTTCTCTTTGTTTTATTTATGTGTTTCACAGTTTAACCGAGAATGATGGAAGAAAGAAGAGTCGCATTAGGTCATTATATAGGCCTTTTACGAGCAATGAGAGACCCTCATTTTCTTTTTATTACTTTACCTCTTAATTTTTAAAACATTTTTTAAATTACCCCCATCTGATTTTTTATTTAATTTTTTTCCTCATTATATCTTTCTTGTTTTTTTTTTAATAGGAAGAAATACCTTCCGTATATCTTTGTTTATTTTTCAGCTATTTTGTCAACATTTCCCTTTTCATGTTATTTTTTAACCAGTTTGGGATTGTCTTTTTTACCATTTTTTTCTTTTGACTTGATTTTTCTTACCAATAATTTAATTCCAAACAAATATGAGTAAATATTGACATCTACCAAGATATATAAAACGTTACTAAACTGAAATGCTTTTCATAAATTAAAAGAAATTTCCACTAGTTTTCGTAACCCAAAAAATCGACTTTTGCAATTTTTTACAACGTTGTGCCTGTTTTTTGTGATATCTCAAACAAAACAAAGTAGTCTTTGGAACTTGAAATTGTAGCTGTTATGTTGAATTCCACGTCAGGTCTATAACATGCATGAAGAGAGGCAGAGAGCGATAACTATATATTGGTTGTTTTTTTTTTGTTTTTTTAGTGTTCGTTTTTTCTCTCACAATTGTCTTATTCTACCATGCATAACATGGATGGATGTTTTTAAAATGATAAAATGTGTTTTGTGAGAAATAAACTGTTTCTCCCAACAACTTGTGAAATAAATAAATTAAAATTGCAAGTTGGCATGCAATGCAATTTCCCTTTTTGTTTAAACAACTTCCTTTCCTTTCCCGTTTTCCGTATGTTTATCTCGTCAATTTTGTTCTAATCGACGTCGATACACATAGTCTCATAGCTCAATATTATGTGTAAAGTCTATCTTGTCGATTATTTGGGTCCAACTCGACAGGTATATCACAAATTTTCTATTTTTATAGTTAATTGTATGCATCATATTCTTCTTTCGTCAAATTCGTCGGATATATATGTTATTTCTATCGTACGATCATCTTTTTACACCATGCATCAAAACATTTCCTCATATGCATCGAGTCTATTACAAGCCTCTTTTTGGTAACATAACATTGTTTGAAAAATATTTTGTTCTATTCTAAAAATTGAACCTCATTTAAAAAAAAAATATAGCTTAGATCAATGTTGACAGAAGTTTATTGGTCTAGTGGTATAATCATTCTCAACGAAGTTCGATTCTAATTTTCTTTAAGTGAAGTTGTAAAGTAGTTGTGGCACGCATTTGCTAGCAAAGTAGCAGGATCCTATGCATTAGGCATTAGCAATGGTTAATTATTTACCGCAGGATTTTGTGTCTAAATATGTTTATTTATTGTTGGCCAGTCGCATCTCTCTCCCCACAAGTTTGGAATCTCCGAGATTTTCTCTTCATGTGTGGGAAAGGACAGAGCCTAGTGACTTTGGTTGTGGATTCCAATAAGATTCCGTCACGTGACAAACTCCATTGAGAAAGACGTCTATTTTCTTCTCTCTTTAGTGCCTCTCCCATCTCTTAGGGGTCAATTAGATCCCCACACTCTCGTGGAATCTTGTCCTCTCAAACATGTTTTGATGACCCCACTTCTCGTCTTTTTTATACGAGATTCATTGCAAAATGAATTTTGATTCACTACTACAATTTACTTCTAATAGAAAATAATACTTCAAAAAACCTAAATAAATACGAGATTAACTATTACAAAACGAATATTTATTTAATTTACTTCAAATTTTTCTATTGAGAGGAGGTACTCTAAAAAATGTGTAGACGTTCGAAAAAGGGTTTATGAAAGGACAAGATTCCACTGCAATTATGCTAAATGGTGAATAATGTTACAGATGGAATCACCTCGTCCACGGTTGACGGTTGCCTTTCCGTCTCTCCATTCACATATTTAAATACAACCACGAATCGAAGCCAAATATGACACAAAGTTAACTATTTATGTCTTGATTTTTTAAAATATTTTATCGATACCTAAGATCAGAGCCCAAATTAAAAAGTGGTGGTGATTGTGAAACATAAAATAAAAAAATAAGACGTGGTTTCAAGGAACTTGCCACCGGCTGGTAAAATTGACACCTGCTGGTAAAAAAGTATTGGGTTTTTTTCCAAACAAAACATAAATAAGGGGCCTAAAACAAAACAAGAAGACACGAACCGTTTTAGTTTAGAAGATAGGCTTATCTTACTAGAAAATCTTCGAAATTTCAGTTGCCACGTGTCAGAAGAAGATCAAAATCCACTCATTTTGAGTTTGTGACCAAAGGCTATCATCTCCTAAACAAATTCCCACTCACCCACACACAACAAAAGAATAGTGATCGAAGCTCATCTCATGGCGTCTCTTGCAACCGTCGCCGCCGTGAAACCATCCGCCGCCATAAAAGGCCTCGGCGGCAGCTCACTCGCCGGAGCTAAGCTCTCTATCAAGCCTTCCCGCCTCAGCTTCAAACCCAAATCCATCCGGTAATTAAAAGCTCTTCACTTATTTATTAATTTAGATCAAAATGCCACTAAAATCACACTATAAATTGGAGCTCTAATTTCATAGGTCATAACTTCATATGATACAGTCAATTCAAAAGTGTGTATCAAACTATAGATAGTGATGATTAGCTACAAAATGATTAAGTTATGGTATTTTCCACTCTTGTAATCAATTAGCTTGAGGTTAATGTTCATGTGTACTAGGGCTGGTTGTGTGGTGGCTAAGTATGGAGACAAAAGTGTCTACTTTGACTTAGAAGATTTGGGTAACACAACAGGTCAATGGGACGTTTACGGCTCTGATGCTCCTTCTCCTTACAATCCTCTTCAGGTTTCTTCATCTCATAACCTAAATTGACTTTTGCACTTCAATAAAAACAGTAGTCTGAGAAGAGTTTCTCTTCTTCTTTGTTTATTTGTAGAGCAAGTTCTTTGAGACATTCGCTGCCCCATTCACAAAGAGAGGATTGCTCCTCAAGTTCTTGATCCTTGGAGGGGGCTCTTTGCTTACTTATGTCAGCGCTACCTCCACCGGCGAGGTTCTTCCCATCAAGAGAGGTCCTCAGGAGAACCCTAAGCTCGGTCCTCGTGGCAAGCTCTGATTTATATTCATGTTACCTTCTCTTCTTCCTTCTAAAACTCATCAACATTTCTCAATACTTCAAACCCTTTAAGTGATTTTATGTATATTCTGTTTATCAGTTACATTTGAAACGTTTTTTCTTCCCCTAATTTTACAAAAGAAATCTTTTTTTTTTCAAGAGTATCGCCCCGCGGTTGGACTTCTTGTGGTTCCAAGAGATTCAAGATAAGAAGTAGGCTTCTTGTTGTTAGCCATGATCATGCTTGACACTCTGGTCAACAGTTTCTTGCCTGAATCTTTTATCGGTGCATCGCTCTTTTCTTTCTTCGGTTCATTGGTTTCGATATTCCATTGCATTACCTCAGATAGTGAAATGGTAGGCTTCTGCTTTTTCGGTCTCTCCTCTAAAAGACAAAAGTTTGGTTCTTCTTCCTTCTCTGGACTCTCTGTTTCCTTCACCATATGTCTCTTACAAACCGCGAGTTCAGGGTTTTGTGTTAGCTGATCAGCTTCAAGAACATCTTCTATTCTTGACATTATCGTGTGCGCCAAGCTCTCAAGAATTCTCGAGTAACTCTCCACTATAGCTAAACCTATATCCTGCAAAACCAATATTAAAGATTTTCTTAAAACAGAACACAAAGTATTATTCGTCTAATGTGATTTTAATATAAAGTTATCTGATTGATTACTTTGTTGAATTGAATCTTGCTAATGTCAAGTGTAGATTGAGAGATCCCTGGGAATTCTTGTTTAATAAGTTGCAAAATGGTTGCTGCTCTTTCTTCTAACTGTTGTCTCTTATCCATGCTCAAATTCGTACTCCATGGAGACGATGACTTGTTGTCTATCTGCACTATCTTTCTCTGCCATATCACAACCGAAGCTTCGAATTTGTTCTTTAAATCAAGAATCTTGTGCTCCGATGATAAATCCATTTCATGAAGGAACTGCTCTGCATCAAACATCTCTAATGTTATCATTCTATAGATCATGTCTCCAAGACTAGCTCTCCCTTTCTGTTCAGTTAAAGAAAAACACACATCAATAAGCATACCAAATCAAAAGGGAACCAATTCTTGATGTGTTGATAGGTCTCGGACTTTATGGTTTAGGGTTTAGAGTTTATACCTTAGGAAGTGAGTCGATGTAGCTCTCAGGGATCTCCATTTCAGTAAGAACTTGAGAGTTTATGGCCATTGCGGAATTAAGCACTTGGCTCACACACTCTTTCTGACTCAGTAGAAATCTTTTCAACGTTTCAGATAAGCCTTTAGGTGGAACTTTAACAATCGGAAGCCACCATTTATCATCGTTCCTGGTCGAGTTACTGTTTTCAGATTCCGGAGAACCTGGTGTGACGTAGTAAAACTCATCCTGTTCTTTATATTTATCAAGACAATCCTGCATAATTTGTGACATTATACAACCTCAGATCTTTTTGATGCAAACGCAAAGAAACAATTTTAAGCATTTGTTTTGACTTACGAGGAGCATTTCGTCGAGTTTCTTAAGAGCAGGAATGTTGGAGACAAGATCTGTTCTTTGTTTTGTAGTCATTACCTACAAGAAAAGATTCAGATTCAGACACACACACAAACAAAACTTTCTATCAAAACCTATAAAATAAGGGTAAGAAACCTCCATGGAAGATCCATCCTCGTTAGTATGGTGTGTTGGAGAGAATTCAACTATATGATCAGTAACAGAGAGAAGCCATCCGATTTCTCTTCTCCATCGTTCTTTTCTATCCTCGGATATTGGCTCTAAACGCCGTAGTTCTCCAAACGCAGAAGCAGAAAGATTTGTGATTGCGTTTGATAATGCCAAAGCTGACGAAACACCTTTGCTTCCTCCTGACATGTCTTCTCCTAAAAGCAATTTCGCAAACTTATCTTTCATCTGCTCCTTCTCTGTAACATATGCAAAATAACATGAATTAGCTTGCAATCCACGAAACCTCAAACCTATAATGCAGTAACTCATTACGGTCTTAGCTTGCATCCCAAGATATAACTCATTAATCAAAGAAAAAGGTTTTAAGCATGGTACGAAATGTTTTCTCTCTTACCTGAATCTTGCTGTAATTCTTCATCAGTTGCTTCACGCGGCTGAGGTGCCTCATCCTTAACAAGAGGCGGTCGAAGCGGTAGAATTGGTTGGATGCTTGAGGTCGCCGTTTTCCTGAACACAGTGCCATCATCAATGTCTGGATCTTCAATTCTCAAGGCGGAATCTGAGTTCCATCTCTTGAAATGCCTTGAAGATGAGTTCTTCTTCTTCACGGTCTCTAAATCTAACAATTTAGACTTGTAGCTTTCTTGTTCTCGCTCACCCGCTTTCACCATTTCCATGATTTTCTTAAATCTAATGAGAGGTTCTCTGTTTTTGAATCTCTCTGTTTTCTCCTCTTGAAACACAGACGAGTTTTTAGGCGGGAGAGACATAATAATGTAAAGAAAGAAACAAAAGAAGAAGAGAAAAAACAGAGTTTTTTGTTTGTTTGTGAAGAAGAATTAAGAAAAAAAAAACTTCTTAAAACTCATAAACGAAACCGTGTGGTAATAATAACACTCGAGAGCAAAGGCAAATCCAGAATAGCTTTTGACTTCTGTTGATGCTTTGTTTTTTTTTCTCCTTTTGCCTCATAAAATTCTCTAACTAACTAACCGATTTGTTGTCAAAAAATGCCTTCGATTAATTTCTCATTTACAGTTATAATAAACAAATTTAGGATTTTGAGTTATATTTTAAGATGCTGTGTTTACATATAGAAAAAAAACACATATGAGCTGAACTTTTTCACTTTACAATTTATATAAATTGTAACCAAGTAAAAATATCTATGCACTTTTTTTTTTTTTTTTTTTTGTCATCATCTATGCACTTTTCGCATTTGAAGTTTAAGAGATCAAATTGTTTATAATATAGACTTTATATGTTATATTCTAATACTAAATTAATTCTATTTTCTTTATTCTATTTTAAATTATTTGATATGCCGCACCTAAATAATAATCTGTTTATTTTTTCTCCTAGTTAAATTATTTATTCTCCTAGTTAAAAGCCAATTAATTCTCTTAATCAACATCTTATTTTATTTAGTCCCAAAATGATACATTATCTCACAATTTTATTAGAAACAAGATCTATAATTACAAAAAAGAAAAGAAAAAGAACAGCTAATTCTTACACAAACAAAAAGCTTTTTGAGTTTAAAAGAAAAAGAAAAAAAGATGGATGTGGTTTAGAAACTAAAGAGTGGCGCCTTTGAAGATGAGGAAGTTGAGAGTCCCCAAATGAAAATAGATGAAAGTTCCTTTAGAATGTGTGAAGAAACACCCAAAATTGGTTCCCACAACACATTGCCATCCACTTCCATATCTCTCATCAAACTCCTGATGATTATTGAACACCAACTTTTCTATTAGCCAGAGAAGACTTTATAATCTTCTCTCAAATAATGAAAAGCTACTAACCTTCTTGATGTGAGCAGCGATGGAAATAGAGTCAAAGACATCAAAAAGATCAAGAGATTGAGAAGCAATCCTCATTGCTTGTATTTGCATCTTCACTGGCATGTCTGTCTCTTCCACCTTCGCTTTCCCTTCCAACATCTTTTACTCAAAGACTCAAAAGTTTCTGAACTAAAACAAAAACTCCTATTAGAAGATAACTTGTAAGGAGAAGATAAAATGAATTGTACGTCACGTTTTGGACAGGTTTTAGCCTTTTAGGGATAGAATCTCCACATGTTGTATGTTTCTGTCGTTTTCTATTTCTTCCTGAGTTTAAGGAACTGTATTATTACCTTGTGGATAACTAGATAAGAAAATCTTTCTTCTTCTTCTTCTTCTTCTTCTTCTTCTTTCTTCTTATCTTTTAACTTTATTTTTGGTCACAATTTTAAGAGAGGACATAGGATATCATAAATGGATCGGCTCTGTTGTGATTTTGATAATTACGACAAGAGGAGTAAGAAAAAAGGGTGATGAGTCATCAGATTTGTAGGAATGATGTATCTGACGTGTGTCCACGTCGTTTTCAAACCTCTGATTGAGACTTTGAGAGGATAACGATGGAGAGGCTCATATATATCAACTTCCGATTTTGGGAGTTCTGAAACTGCATGTGATCTTGAATAATGCGTCTCTCTGTTTCTTGTTTGTTGCTAAATGGGCCGCCAAAAACTAAGGCCCAACCTTTTAAGTCATAATATCATTTTTGATTAGAAAAAAGAATACTTAATAGACCACCAAAAATGAAATTATCAAACCTAATAATGTTTTCTATTTTTATGAATAATTATTTTCTTTGATAATAAATTGAACACTTTTTTATTTTATTTTTTTTGACAGCTAAATTATAGCGAATAAATTTAAATTATAGATATTGGAAGTAGAGATGAGCACCATCAACTTTCCATATAATAGATAGAAATAACAAAGAATACAAACTTATGGATTAAGGATTCTTTTGTAGGTAAAAAACATTCCTCTCCAATTTAATAATTAGCTTTTAAAAAAAACATTTTTTCTATAAAGATACCTAAAAGTTAATCCACTAATTAAATTACACATAACCTTAGTTCCATCATTCCATTAATCAAAAGTTTCAAAACCAACGGTGAAGCAATTGTAGAACAACATCTAACGAATAATAGCTCGACAAGTAAGCTCACTCCACCGATACTCAATTACTCACTCACTCACTCCCAAACCTAAGCTAACAGGTTTGGATTCAGCCTCGGGTATACCTCAACCACAAGAAACCCGTTGCTTCACTCTATTTTTTTTTTCCTTTTAAAATCCTCTTCTTCTTTTACCCACTTTGAAAAACAACATTCCCAAATTAAAACATCTATCTCCATCAACGGTCAGCATCTCACTCCTCCAGGCTCCAGCTATTGATTTCCTCGCATATTCTGTCTTATTCCCACGTCAAAATGTCTTTAAAATCACCACATTCTCTCTTCTGATGTCCTAGTCTCAAATTCTCTGTTTTTTTTTTTTTTTTTCAAAATGTTCTATATGTAGTCTAGATTAGGTAGAGTGATAAGTAAAGCATTATGTTTTCCGCGAAATCAGATTCAGAAACAAGTCTTGCGGCTTCGTCGTCGTCACCGTCACGATCTTCAAAACGCACTTTCTACTACGTGCAAAGCCCGTCACGTGATGACTCCTCTACGTCAATTATTCAGCCGAGCCCCATGGACTCGCCTACACACGATTCTTCCTCCTTAGGCCGTCACTCACGTAACTCATCGGCGAGTAGATTCTCCGGGTTCCGATCATCATCTTCAGGGAGAAAAAACGGCAGGAAGTGGAGGAAGTCTAACGAGCAAGAATGTAAGGTTATACTTGAAGAAGGTTCATCATACGATGAAATGGTCGATGCGACGTGTATAAGAAGGTGTCAAGCACTACTTGCCGTTTTCACTTTGGTTGTTCTCTTTATCTTCTTCTGCTTTATTGTTTGGGGAGCTAGTAGACCTTACAAGGCTCAAATCTCTGTTCAGGTAATACTTTTTTAAGAATTTCTCAAAAGCTTATATATATATATATAGGTTATATTAATATTTCTCTTAATTTTGAAATGTGTGGTTAGTGATTAATTAGAGTGATGCAGACATTCGAACTACACAACTTTTATGTTGGTGAAGGATCAGATTTCTCTGGAGTAAGTACCAAAGTGGTGACTTTAAATGGAACTTTAAGAATTCGTATTTACAATCCTGCCCCAGTATTTGGTGTTCATGTTAGTTCCACCCCAATCAATCTCTTCTTCTATCAACTCCCTGTTGCCACCGGTCAGGTAATTTATTTTTCATATTACCGAACGTCTTTGTAATAATCAATTGTTAAAGTTGCCTAAAACAGTGTGACTACTTATATATATATATCGTTCTATTTAGTTTGATATGGTTATGGTTTCTAACTTCTATTCAGATTTGGTTTTTAGCAAAATATTTGCATTTTTTGTTTCACTTTTGATCAATGTTTGTTTAGATTGTTTCTTCTCCGGTTTTTTTTTTTTTTTTTTGTTTTTTTAAAAATATTTTCACGTATGCCATATATTTTCTTTGATAGTTGAAAGAGTATTATCAATTAAAGAAGAGCCAAGAAACGGAATCAGTGGTTATAGAAGGGAGAAGAGTTCCATTATATGGTGCCGGAGCAAGCCTAGAGGCGACGGAGAGAGGTGGAAAGATTCCGGTGAAGCTGAGATTTGAAGTCCAATCGAGAGGAGATGTGGTCGGAAAATTGGTTAGGATTTGGCACACAAAGCGAATCTCATGCACATTTGTCATCGATGTTGCTAGTAATAAGCCCATACCGTTCAATAAGAGTTCTTGCCGCTATTCATGATTGCAATTGGCAACTCAATGCATACATAAGACGAGGGTGATTTGTCTAGAAGTTTTTGAGCAAATAAGTTGTAATACTCAAACACTATGTAGTAGTTTAATATCGATTTTGGTGAATATTTTTCTCGCATTGCATGTAATAACGCGATTTTGGAACAAATAATTAATCAAACTATGTTACGGTGGCACTACAAGAAAAATGAGCTTCGGTAACACAAGGAATATGCTGCCAAAGGGATTTCGTAGCGAAACTACAAACGCTGTATAATGAGGAGCTACAGTAGACCCTCCCTACCG